ATATATTCATATATATTATTTATACCCCATCTCCCCCAGCACTCATCTGTCCCTCTTCTTCCTTTTTCTCCCACCAACAACACATCCTCCCTCCAAACGACCCACCTTCCCTACCAAAAAATCACTCAATTCTCGAGCCTGACAGTTGAAGTGGTTAAATAATTTAAGTCTTTTTCGGTTGTTGTTGTGTCTGAGTGGTAGCCTATCCATTCGAAATGTTTGGATCCCCCAAGAGCTTGCTCTTCGCCAGGGCCACCGCCTCTCTTGAGTAGCGGGTGAGGCAGTCCAACCTCTTTGAATCCCCCCCAAAGAGATGCCACCGCCGGACCTCCGTGGCGGGGCATCTCTGCAGTTTGTGCTCCAAATCCTGAGGCGCCTCGCTGCACAAGGAACAGATTGGGTCTGATGTTTTGCCTATTCTATTATTTTAAACCCGCAGCCCAGAGGAGTGACCGGTCCTGATTTTTTGCCAGTAATGACTGGTCACTGAGGGATTTAATTTGAGCCTCTCGTTTTAAGGAAATTGCCCAGTATATTTCCTTAGTCCGCGTGTGCGATATCAGAGGGTCTTTCGTGATTAGTTTTATCTGGGCGCACGCACTTTTATATGAGTGATGATCGCGCCAACAGGCAGCCTTCTGTGCTCCTCTTAATTTGTGGTGTTCCTGTCTGTTTTAATTCCTGGATATTTTAAAAAGTTATACCATCATGTGCATTAAGTTTCGGTGATTAAAGTTGTTGTTGTTGTTGAATGGGTCTTTTGCGTAGTTGCTTTGTTTTGCTTGTGTTCGCTTGCTTGTTTGTTTGTTTGCCTTTTGTTTTATTTTGATTTCAGAAAAAGGGGGGGGGGGTGTAACCAGAGCCAGCTTGTGCAGAGTTGGATATGTGCATCTCTACAAAAAGGTAGAGATTGTCGATTTACCTGTCTCAGTTACATGGAAATCAAACTCGCATCTCTTGCAAAGGACAGCTAAAAGTCAAACCATTAAACCAGAATGTGTGTTTTGGTGTGGTTTGTCCCTTCTTTCCTATCAAACATCTAGCGTCCTATTCTCCCCTTCTTCTTTTCTTTGTATGTTACTCGGTCACATCTAATCGACTGCACATACATGATCTAATTGCGTTGCAAGAGACTTAAACCTCTCACTAAAAGTTTAATAAGGTCATCCAAAATCTCATTCTGTCCGGTTTTTAGAACATGTGTAACTTACCAGAAATAGGATAGGACACCGCTCCGGCTAGGCCCATGATCAGATAGTAGAAGCCGATGGCAGAGGTAAAGTTCTTCATGCCCAGCGCCTCGATCACCACAAGAGACTGCATGGCGAAGTAAACCCCCATGAACAGCCCGTACATCACAGCCATCGCCAACATCGACCTGAGGGAGGGACAGTCGTAGAACGATTGGACAATCTTTTAGATCTAATAGCTGAAGAAACAGAAGAAGACGAAGGAGGAGGAGGAGGAGGAGGAGGAG